TCAAAATTTATATCTATACAAAGATTACTCTACGTTGTTTAAATAGATCTGAAATTTAATTTAAAATACGTATTTATAATACCAAGGTTATTTCAAACAAAAGGAATTTAATAATAATAATAATAATAATAATAATAATAATATATATATATATACATATATATATATAAATTGTTTTGTGATTTTAAAATGAATGCCATTTGAAGAATTGAATGTTCCATAAAAAAAGTCGTATGTATAAAAAAAAGAAAAATGAGATATTGAATGATATAAATGAAATGTTCCTACTGATAATAATGAATTTTAATCAGTCTAATAATATTGTTAAGAAATGGAAACGTTAAGGTATTTATATTATCTTATCTTATCTCTCTCTCTCTCTCTCTCTCTCTCTCTCTCTCTCTCTCTCTCTCTCTCTCTCTGTCTGTCTGTCTTTCTCTCTCTTTGATTGACAAGCTTGATACATCCAACGTCTCTCAAATCTTCCATGCATATGTCTTTTGGTCTATGAACTCTAGACTTTCTTTCTCTAGGAAAGGTGTCATGGAATCAATATCCTGAGTATTGGCATTGATGGATTTGGAAAGTCGAAGGGTATCATAGACTTTGATGAAGAGTTATTAGCTGACGGTTATTCTCTGTGCTGAGCTTTTTGATAGAGAGAGAGAGAGAGAAAAAGAGAGAGAGAGAGAGAGAAAGAGAGAGAGAGAGAGAGAAAAAGTTATCGGACACAAAGACGGATAGTTCGAAATTATTGATAAAGTCTTTTCTAACTGTGAAAACGAGTACACGAGTTCGATGGATTTTCTAATGGATTTTCGAACATATTCGAACAAAATTCTTTTTGATTTTTTCTTTTTTTTTTTTTCTTTTTTTTTTTGTTTTTTTTTCTTTTTTACTCTTTTATATTTTCTTCATTTTTAATTCTTTTTTATTTTCCCTTTTGCATTTTTACCAAACGATATTCGATATTGATTGATATATGTATGTATGTATGTATGTATGTATGTATGCATGTAAGGAAATAGAGATTATTATTTGTTTAGTGTTATTGAATGCACATGCGTATCTAATACGAAGAATCGAATATGTAAATGACGTAACACGTGTCATTTACCTAACGATATCACTGTTGTGGACACTTCGACAGACGTCTAATCTATTATGTGCATCGATAATATACGTATACTATGATTAGAATGATTTTCATTATTTTAAAATCATTTTGAAATAAATATCTACACACACACACACACACACACACACACACACACATATATATATATACTTATATATATATACTTTTATCGAATAGTAATCAAAAAGTAGAAGGCTTTAGAATAGAAATTGAAAAACTTTCGTCGTATACGCAACGCACACGAATAATTTCAATATTACATAGAAACCAAAGTCCTTGTGAAATATGGGCATATCCTTCCTCTCTCTTTCTCTCTTTCTTTTTTCCTTCCGCTTTCCCTCTCTCTCTTTTTTTCTCTCTCTCTCTCTCTCTCTCTCTCTCTCTCCCCACCCCCTTTATCTTTTTTTCTCTTTTTCTTTCGTTCTTATTCTCTTGATACTCACGCAGGATACTATTCTCTCGATATCGCCGGTAAAATATTGAAAAGAATCTTGGCGAAAATCGAAACGTCACGTTCCATGAAGCATTGCCTTCTCGCTTGGATCAAATATTCGAGATCCTTCGTAAGTAGTCAAACAAAAGGAAACTCGAAGGAGAGACAGAGAGAGAGAGAGAGAGAGAGAGAGAGAGAGAGGAAAAGAGAGAAAGAGAGAAAAGGATAATCTCTCTCTTTCTCACTCTCTCTCTCTCTCTCTCACTCTCTCTCTCTCTTTCTTTTTTTCTTTTTGCCGACACAATATATATTTTTCTTTTTTCGAATTGTAAAATTTACGGATGTGATAAGAAGAAAGGAGAAAGAGTGATTAGAAAAAAAAGAGAGAGAGAGAGAGAGAGAGAGAGAGAGAGAGAAAACCATTATAAACGTCGAAAGAACATACATTTCAAATGAAGGGTAATAAAATCGTTGAGAAGGTACTACCGATATCCAGAATGAGAAATGTTCTGAGAGAGATGCGAATACAACTTGTAGAAATAAGGAAGAAACCTTGGCACAATGCTGGATACTCGAAGTGTTAAGCGTGGAATAACGAGAAGAGTGTTTTCTCTCTCTCTCTCTCTCTCATACAGACACACACTTATATACACACACACACACACACAGATACATATATATACAAGCTGATATTATGCTATCGTTAATCGTAGCTCGCTGCTTCTCCTCGTCAGCATCTTCATCATTGGCACGTTATAAAAAGGCAAGCATTTTGCAAGAAGCTTTTCTCTCTCTCTCTGTCTCTCTCTTTCTCTCTCTTCTTTCTACATTTTCTGTAATTTATCTGTAGATATGTATACATATCTCTATGCGCGCGCGCGCGTGTGTGTGTGTGTGTGTGTGTGTGTGCGCGCGTATTCTTTTCTATATCTATATCTTCATCTCTCTTTCTCTCGATATAACTCTGCTTTACTTCCTTTTTCTTTTTTTATTTGTTTCTTTTTTTTTTTTTTTTTTTTCCCCATTCATTCAGAGATCTCTCCGTTTCTCTCTTTCTCTCCTTCTCTCTTTCTCTCTTTCTCTCTATCTCTATCTCTATCTCTATCTCTCTTTCTCTCTATCTCTATCTCTCTTTCTCTCTATCTCTATCTCTCTTTCTCCCTTTCTCTCCTACGATTTTCTCGTTTTCTCGTCGAAAGGTAAGGGTGCGAGCGATTACTGTCGGCACAGAAGCAACGAGGAACGACGAAAAGCCAAGGAGTTCGCGGAGGCAGGGAATAATTAAACCCGGTAATGTCTGAGCATTAGAGCAGATGATGACGTCATCAAAGCCGAGGGCAACCAGCTCGAGGAGAACCAGCAACCCTTCTCTATACGACCAAAATTTGCCCTTGCGTGCGCGACCCTCAAACTCTCTCTCTCTCTCTCTCTCTCTCTCTCTCTTTCTTTCTCTCTTTCTCTCTCTCTCATTCCATATCCTATGGGAAGGGTATTCCAAGGTATTACCGTCGTTTCTCTTCCCTCACATCTACCACGGTTTAATATTCTTGACTTAAAAACGTATGGGATAAGGATAAAGTTGCTCATGGGAAACCTTATCCTTTGAGTTTCAAGGCCGTTCATCATCCATGATTTTGTAATGGTTCATCCTAACAATCGATTTTTTTTCTAGAATTTGTTGAAGAAAAAACTATTGATTATTATTATTAATATAATTTTTTTTTTCTTTTTTTTTTTTCTTTTTTTTTTTTTTTTTTGAAAAAAAGGAAAAAAAAAGAAAATAATAAAATCGCGTCAGAAAAATAAATACCTTAACGACTTCGACAATTTTGCGTACATTTAAATCATTATTATATAATGATATAAATGATTTCTTTAAAATTATTACAATGATCGTAACGCATGAGAGAAAGAAAACTTAAAATAATATTGATTTAAAATTTCGATACTTAAAAATTCTTATCTCGGTGTAGTTGATCTTGTGTGACATAAACACATTCGCTCTTTTAATTGACTTTAACGATTACGGGATCAGTTCTTCTTCGTTCTCCGACGAGTTAACATCGAAGGACGTCTCTTAGGATATTTTTCCTGCAAGTATCAATGAACATTTTAAGTAAGTATATTTTAATATCTTACGTTTCTTCAATAATTTATACAATTTTCTTATTATAACAATTATTATACTAATAATTTTCAGAACATCATTGCAATCACGCAAGAAACAATGATATTAAATATATTTCAATGCGTTTCCAAAATTTTTTCCATTTAATTCTAATTAAATATTAAAATACTTTACAGTTTATGTTGTTATTCATAATTCAATAGATAAATAGATTACATATAGTAATATTTTTAAATAATTACTTAAAATAATGCATTGAAAAATTCGAATTCTTTCATTATTCTTATTTGTTCTTACTTATATTCTTATTTACGCTTTTCAGATTGAATGATAGTCGGAAGTATTTCTCTCTTTCTCTCTCTCTCTCTCTCTCTCTCTTTCTTTCCCTTTCTCTCTCTCTCTCTCTCTCTCTCTCTCTCTCTCTCGTTTAAAGAACTTAGTAGAAAATAATTAATTTGGATCTTTAGTCCGGCAATGTGCAACACAGTCTTGCAATACAGTTTGACCTTACTAAATACATAGTCTATACATATCTATACTTTTATACCCATACCTGTATATACCTTATTTATATATACCTACTTATATATATATATATATATATATATATATATATATATTTCCACTATCGTATGGTAATGTGACTTCAGTTCATGTAACATTCTACATAGCTCCTTTTACCTAGCTTCCTTTTAAAAGGAAGAGGATCTGAATAGTGGCACAACCGCGCGCGTTTTCGTGTTCCACCAGCTTGGTCCGCGATCCGTGCAAATTACGGTTTAGAACAAATTCTCCTTGGTCCTTTTCGCCCAGTTTCTACGTTTATTCCTTCTTCTCTCTCTTCCTTCTCCTTCTCTTTCTTTTCCTACTCTTGCTCCTCCTTCTCTTTTTCTTCCATTTTCTTTCTTCTTATCTATCCTTTCTTATCGTCATTCTTCTTACTACTATTCTATGATTCTTAATTTAAGATACTTCGTGAAATGATACGTATATATGTAAAATAAAAATTTTAAATATACTACGTTTATATATATATATATATATATATATATATATATATATGCAACATTTTGAATGAACATGCTAGCTTTTGTAATTTAACGAGAAAAGGAAAGAAAATACGTTAAATGTGGAATATTAATATTATGAAACAATATTCTCAATGTAAATAGGAAAGATTAAAACTTTATCATATTTTATATCATTTAAGATGTTCGATAAGACATTAAGTAGAAATGAGAAATATTTAAAGTGAGAATAAGGAAGAAATTTGTTATATCTATTTATTGTTATAGATATGTTTAGGTACATCTCTTACGAAAACGGACTTGTTGAATTGCATTCTCTTTACGTTCTAAATATAAAGACTTTTCATCAGATATTTCTATAGACACAGATATAGACACATACGCATAGACAATTTTATTTTGAAATTTTTCGAAAATAAGTATCATCAAAATATTTGAAAACATAGATTAGAGATAGGCGATAATGCGATTATTTAATAAACGTAAATGTTCGCAAATTTTCGATCTTACATTATCGCATTATTTAGAATAAGCTCTTTCATTAACATCGTCTCTAATCGGTATTATATCTTGATAAAACTTTTTTTTTTTTTTTTTATCGAGGTAAAACCTTATCTGAACATTATCTGAATGTAATAGCGTAGCGTATTTCATCGGGAAATGTGCATACATAATGACAATTTAAAGTTTTTTTTTATGTATGATTAGTATTAATATTAATAAGCACGTACTAATCCATCTTATGTAGGTATTACTTATGAAAAGCTAATTATTTATTAATTTTATTGATTTACGAGAATAATAATGATGGACACACGATATTACACGAGTAATGTCTATTAAAGTTTAAGATAAGAATGCATAGATAATCGATAATATATAATCGATCGTATATAAGTATAGATAAGTATGGATAAAGTATAGATAAAAAGTTATAGATAAGAATAAATAAGTATAGATAAAGATTTTAAAAAAAAATACACACAAAATACACATAAAGTGTCTTATGAATGACATAAAAACGGGTCCTTTTTTTTTCTTTATAAATAATTGAAATATACTTAATTATTTATAGGCAGGATATTTTAGAAAATGATTAATCAATAAGTCGTTAATAAATATTCCCCTTTGTATTTACTGTATTTATCCATTGATACGATTGAAAAAAAGAAAAAAAAAAAAACGGAAGGACGTCATTCAACGTATCGAGGATATTCTTGAAAAAAAACTCCGTGGAAGATTCCGCAAGTTCTTCTTCTCCTTTTTGAAATGTTTTGCATTTAAATGTATTAGAAAAGAAAAACTGCGAGACAACAAGAAGATAAATCGATGTATCCGAAGGAAATAGGAAAAAGGAACGGACAAAAAACGAACAGCAGAGGAACAAAAAAGATCTTTAAAATGTAAGACAACGATTTTATTTATTTATTTTTTTTCTTTTTCTTTTCTTTTTTTATTTTTTGTTAAATAAACGAAATGCTCGAAAATTAACTTATTTATTTAAAAAGTTATTTCCATCGGTATTCACGTTGATAATGGTACTTGCACGAAAATATTTCTTAATAACGAATAATACAGAGGGAATTTCATTAAGTCGGATGCCTTTCGCAAGGCGTGCACTGTAAATGTATTTTATGCGAACTCAACGAGCCTACACAAGATATGATGGTGAGAGTTAGACGTTGGTCTTGCCAACGATGAATTGAAGAACCGAAGGGATAGCGATAATAGTACGTGGAAAAGGGGAAAAAAAAAGTGATCAGAAAGAAGAGAAGGAGCTCGCGCAAATATAATAGAAAAAGATAATACAAAAAGTTCGACTCGAAACGAAAACAATGACCAATGTTTGTTGACCCCATTGTTGTTAGGAATGTTGATTCATATTATCCATCCGTTCGCCCTTCCCCTCACCATCCACCGCCCGCCCCCTACCCCTTTTCTCCAATTCATAGATAAGCATGAAATTGTAAAGGCACAAGTATATTTTGCTATATTGAAAAGCAATGGAGCAATCCATTGAGCCTTTCTTCACTTATCCTTTTTATTTCATTTCGAATTTTTACTAACTCATACCACAAAAAGTTTCACTTTGAAAATAAAATCGATGAAAGTGTGGTTAAAGAAGTCAGGGAAAGAAGAAATAATCTTTGTAAGAAAATGTTTTCCAAGTTGACACAGGGATACACCGTATCGAATATTCATGTAACGATATGGAATCGTCAGTTGTGGATATTGACAAGTTTATTCCCATTTCAGAAGTTCTACGATGGTTAAGATATATTTAGAATTGGTCTTACTGGATATATCGAGAAATTATTGATCAAGAAATTATTGAGAAAATAAGAATAAAAATGAACGACTATTTTTTTTCTATTAATATATATATATATATATTTTTTTTCTATAATGTTGTATATTATGTATATATATGTAATATATGTATATAATATGTTATATATATATAGGAATATTTCTAATTATTTTTTTTTAATTTTATTTTTCTTAATAAACAATAAATATATATTATTGTTATCAAAAATTAAATTATTATTATTATTATTATTACGTAATAGAGTAAAATAATTATATATATATATATATGATAATATATTAAAAATTAATAATTATAAACGATAATTATAATAAACTAAGTAATAGTATAATTTATGTAGTATATATTATGTAGTATAATTAATATAGTGTAACTAATATTATATAATTACTTTTTTTTTTATACAATCTCACAAAGTCCATCTTTTAATTCGAGAAAATAGCGCTTTAAAAAAAAATACGCAAATTTAAATATGTTTTCTATTCAAATATAGAAAAAAAAGGAAAAAAAAAAGAAAAAAAAAGAAAAAATACTAAATAACAAGAAAACGCAAAAATGATAAATCAATGTATTAAAAAAAAAAAAAAAAAAAGAAAGAAAAACAAATAGAGAAAAAAGAATATCTCTAAAAGTAAAATGATATAATTAAATCAAAGAAAATAATAAATAATTAAAAAGTAATTTACGTGAATAAAAAGGTATATTCACAATGGTGTACGTAAATATTTCAAAAATATTTCTTAACAACTGAATAATACATGCATAGAGAATTTCATTAAGTTAGATGCCTTGCATTGTGGCGTGCATTTTGTAAATTTGTATTTTATGTGAAATCAACGAGACGTAGATTTAGATTTACATTGAGTATAGACGGATGAGTTAAAAACACCATATATATATATATTTATTTACTAATAATTTTATTTGTATTTATTTATAATTTTATCATAAAGTTAAGAAAATATTTATTAAAACGAATAAAATTGTAAGCTGTTGAGTTAAAATAGAAAAAAAAAAATGTGAAAGAATTCGAGTCTTCCTATGGTTTATCGATAAGTATGAATTAGCATTATTATTGACGATAAACAATAGAGACATAAGCTAAAGCTAATGTTCTGAATTTTCACTATAAGTAATGGAATCGAAACTGACAATGAAGCTGTGAGATAAGAACGCGATTAAGAAGGTAATAGCGTCGAAAGAAAGATCGTTTTTAAATCGGTGCAGGGCTAAATCGTTTTATCATTTGCCGTGGAAAAAAGATGGCGGTACCTACCTAAGAGATCTATCATTGATATAGTCGTATAGATAGAACGAGAAAGTGATACGAAACGCGAGAGCGAGCTAGTTCAAACTTTAAGATGTAATCAATCACTAGTAGGGCATTAGAGACTGCCTCCAATCTCAAAGCTACATGGCAGTGCGGCTTCTGTTTTCAAAGTTCCCAATCCGGTAACCACGCTTTTCTAAAAGTCACTTTAAAATTAAACGATTCATTTTCTCCTCTTATCTATCGGTGATAACATAATTCTTTTCTTTTTGTTTTTTCTTTTTTTTTTTATTTTTTATTTTTTATTTTTTATTTTTTTTTTTTTTTTAATACCATCTCTTACAACGTTCCTATCTTATTTTACAAAATTTACTGTACAATAATTGTAATCAAGTGATATAATAATTGATAATAGTGATATATATTAACTATATACATATATATATATATATATATATATATACATATATATATATATATACATATATATATATATACATATATATATATATATCTTGTTAATAAGTATTTTTATTCCTCTGAAATATAAAAATTAATTGTAAAATAAAATCTCTTCTTTATGAAAATATTTATTCAATAAGTAATAAACGAATGTCGTTCATTTTCATTGATATACACATATCATAGTATCTATTCATTTTTCATTGATATATTTCCAGTTAAAAAGTAATCTTTGAGAAAAATAATTACTGCATTTCTATAAGCTACTCTTGAGTCAATATTTTTTGTTTTTTACGAAATAAAATGTTTATAATAGGAAACGGAGATAGAAAGAGATAAATGGAGAGAGAAAGAGAGAGAGAGAGAGAGAGAGAGAAAATTAGTATTTTATCACGTCAAAATTAAAACATGATACAAAGTAGAACAAAGCAAACCTGTGGTGAGATGTCTTGTTTGGAAAAAGTACGATACTATTGAGAAAATGAAAGCGACTTTATCTGAAACAGAATGAAAAGAGAATTAGCATTCTCTCTCTTTCTCTCTCTCTCTCTCACTCTCTTTGTCTTTATCTTACTTTAAATTCGAAAATGGCCAGCTCATAGTAACTTTGTAGTTGCCAGCAATTGTTCCAGTCGAAGTTCCTTTCTCTTTGAACGTCAATACGAGAAACCATTAAATTTCTTCCTTTGAAAAATTTGATTCGCTGAACCGTCTCTAATTTGTTTTAATATTATGTTAAGCGTTATTTAACATAAAAATTTATCAAGGCCACGTTAGAACATTTTATTTGCAAAAAAATTTCGAAAAATATCATAAGTACATGACAGTATATAATAGTATATAATAGTATATAATAGTATATAATAAGATTTCTTCTTACTGATATATATATATATATATATATATATATATATGTATATATATGTTTAATAGTAAATATGATGTTTAATAGTAAATATAAATAAAATAAACAAGAAATGAGATAGAAACATATAATATATTTTATGAAAAATAAAAAATGCATCGGTATACTCATATGAGACTTGACTTTGTTATATCAGATGTTGATTTAATTTAAAAAAACATGTCTATCATATATGCGTCTGTCTGTCTGTTTGTCTGTCTGTTTATCTGTGTTTGTATTTCTGTGGATGATACGAAGACGAACGAGAAAGTTAATGTTTCAATATATATTTTCTATTAGAATGAAATAATTGAAAAATACAAATACATAACGTTCGAATGAACATTTAATCAAATTTATGGTACGTATTGAATAATGAACGAAACAA